TAACCTAACCTAACCTAACCTAGATGTGTGGGAAAATTCTGTGGCCCTAATGTCAGTTTTCAGGATTTTAAAAACCATTTATCTAGCCAAATGTCCATAAATTATTGCTGCATATGCAGTGTTAAAATAGATGAAAGCTTATTCATTCAGTGGAACACATCTGAACTATTGAAAAGTCATTAGAAAAGGGCTGTTGTAAGCAGTCAGAACTACATAGAATGAAGATTCTCCTAAAATAAACTTCTTCCTGCATTTTTCTTTGTAGAAGCAGCAAGGCGAAGGGCATATTGCAACAAGTGCTTGTTCCTCTAGAAGTCAAATCCTTTATCTGGACTCCAGTAAGAAACATAAGGTACAGTACAACTTTATCCTTTGGCTCAAGTATATGCAACCTGATGTCCTTCTAAGTTTTAGATTTCTTCAATTCCAGTCAACATGGTCAAAAGGAAGGGACTATTGGAAATGAAGTCCTGAATATATGTATGGTCACAGGGTGTCTACTCTTGATTTAGCTGTTCAGCATTGCCTACTATTGGTACCTCAAAAAAGCCTTATACTTTTCTTTGGAAAGAATAATTACCAATTCTTCAGGGCATACTTGGTGCAAATTCAGTCATTAGCATCTTCAGATGCCTGTTAATATATCCTGGACAAATACTGTAATTATAAGAATCTGAAAAGCAGATCTGTGTTCTCATAGGAATACAGGCAACTGCCTTATATGTGATCAGTCTGCTGATCTATTTACCAGTAGTTAAATATTATTCTGATGAAAATTGCTCTTTAGAGGAGTTTCCCATCTTTTTCCACTAGATGCTTTTTGCAGGAGGTGTCAATGGCTGTGTGCCTTATTACTTTTAAACTGGTACTCTGTCCCTAAGCAACTCTTCCTCTTCTTAGGGGGCTGATGGTACTGAGATCAGCCAAGCCTGCCTGATCTCAGAAACCAAGCAGAGTTAGAGACCACCAGAAGTTAAACTGACTAAGTTTAAAAGTTTGTAAAAATACAATGACAAGCCATTTCGGAATTGTGATTAAAAAAAAACATAGAAGTACCTATGAAATCATCTGCAGTTGGAGCTTGACATGAAGAATACTTATTGTATCTCACATGGGAAATTACTGATACAAGCCCACAGAAAATTTTAATGTTTTCAAATAAATGGTCATAGACTGCAAGTAAATGAAATGCGCAGAATTTAAAAAATACTAGAACATCCTTTTAAGATTAAATAATTCCAGTCGCACTAATATTTGGGTGTAAGATGCCAATTGGCTTGAATTTATGGGTCCAGGAACAGTGCAGTGTTGAATCTGAACTTGGAAAACCTGATTTAGAAAGTACTGCATGAATACCAGGGGCATGCAGACAACATTGGAGACCATTATTTATTGTTCAGGTGGAGATGGCTGGCCGGCTGGTCTCTTCTGTAGTCATTGCATCAATGCCTGCCCCCCCTCCAAACCCCTTTAGAGCAAGCCTCTGCTCGAACTGCAGCTGCAAGTGATTGATATGAATCTGCCTTCGTGCTTTAGGCCAGCTTAGCACCTGTATATCTGTTCTTCCAGACACTGCCTCTACTGTTAAGCATGTTACACCCTTAAGGGAGGCAGCAGCAAAGTAAATAGCCTGAAACAACCATTAATCCCTATTTAGAAGTGATGACACTGAAATGACCTAAGGTTATATGCAAATATTTCTGGAGTGGGAAGAAATTATATTCTGCAATACAAGATAGATACATATTTGAGGAGAGCTTGCAAATATATAATCTTTTTAATTTTAAAAAAGACAAAATCCACTATCCAGTTGTTGTTTTGCTGTAAAAATAGGCCTCTGTTTACATTTTTACAGATACCAACTAGGAAGGTTTTCTACATCTAAGTATTCTGAATTGCATGATTTCTGAGAGGGGAGGGGGTGGAGAGAGGGGTTGGTGTAGTTGGGAGAGAGCTGCTGTAGATGTCAGGCTCCATGGCTATCCAAGAAAACTCTTGGTTTTTCAGGTTCCACTGGCATATTTTAATAAATAGTACATTCTTACAAATGAGTTGGGCAATATAAAGTAGTAGACTCATTTCTTTTGTTCGTAAAGCAATTCACCCCTATATTACTGCATTTCAATCTGAATGTTCAAAATGAAGAATTTGTATTTTCTGAATAGAAAATGTTGAAGTACCTTTGCCAATAATTTTTGTTCCTTCTAGGAAATAAAGGGTCATTAGACATCCTACAAATACCCAAAAGGGAAAGCTGGCAATTTCTTAAGTACATCCATGTAATTTTAACTGGCAATTTCTTAAGTACAGTCATGTAATTTTAATTGAAGATGGAAGCAATTTAGTGATTTGCTACAACAGATGTAATACTGAGCAAGGTTGACAGGTGGAAGACAGAAGCAGCTGCTTAGCAGCCTGTTTAGGCGATGAAGTGCTGGGGTTGTTTTCTCTATAGGTATCATTGACATGGTGTTCTCTTCCCATCATCCTGCATTTTTCTTGCTAGGAGTTAGCCTTCTCATCAAACTGTTTTTTCTAGTGGGCACCAATAGATTTTCTCAAATAAATGTTTTCAGCTGCTGGGCTGTACAGTGAGCAAGTACTTTTGTTTCCAACTGTGCATGCTTGAAAAGGATTGATTTTTCCGCCCTTACTTTATATATGTAAGAGGTTTTTAAGTTGCAGAGTCATTTGAGTTCCCGGAAGGCAGTTAGGGCCTATTGTGTCCTGGTTGAATGAAGCATTGATGGTAACGCTACATGTTTCTTAGGGCTTTTCCAGAGATCATGTCATTACAAGTTCAGCCAGTGCTAGTAAAATGTGAAGGGAAGTGCGCATTTTCTGAAGCAGTAAGCTTTTCATTTGATACCTGACAGAACTCCATTTAAGAAAAAACAACGAACAGTACAGGTAGTTCTCGACTTACAAAAGTCCATTTAGTGACCGTTCAAAGTTACAATGGCACTGAAAAAAGTGCCTTATGACCATTTCTCATGGTTCATGTCATTGCAGCATCCCCATGGTCACGTGATTTAAGTTCAGATGCTTGACAACTGACTCACATTTATGACGGTTGTAGTGTCCCAACGTCATGTGACCATATTTGGCCACATTCTGATAAGCAATGTCAATGGGGAAGCCAGATTCACTTAACAGCTGGCTTACTAATTTAACATTACTGCAGTGACATAACAAATGCGGCAAGAAAAGTTGTACAATGGGGCAAATCTCACTTAACAAATTTCTCACTTAGCAACATTAATTTTGGGCTCAATTGTGGTCGTAAGTGGAGGACNGCTGGTGGGCTGGTGGGGCTGCATTTGGTGTATAAGATGTACCCAAATTTTCACCCTCTTTTAGGGGGGGAAGGTGCATCTTATACTCTGAAAAATACAGTACCTTGCATGATTTGTTCCCTTCCCTTCTACAGGTAAAGACAAGTTTTCCACGAGAGCCAGAACAGCCCAGGAAAAGAGAACCTCTCTGCATAGGAAGAGCAGAACAGCAACTCAAGATAAGTAGCCAGAGCCATGGTGAATCCTTGCATTTAAGGAGCCCAAAGCAGCAATCGGAGAGAGAAATCCAAAGTAGAAGGATGCCTCTGTACTCAGCAACTTCAACCTCTCAGGAGAGAGAAGGAAGGAAATTGGAGGAGCTTGTGTCTCGTATGAGTTCCAGTGCAGAGAGGGTTGCCCTTTTTCCTACGAGTCATGGGAGGCAAGTGGATAATGATAAAAAGAGACGAGCAGAGATCTTGCATCAAAAGAGCCCTGGGAAGAATGGCACAGATACTAGATGGAAAAGCAGTCCAGGTACCTTGCATACTGCTAATCCTTCAAATACTTTGGACAAGAATCAAGCAAGGCCCATAAGGCAACTAGATAGGTATAAAGAAAGTGACCGGAAAGCACGAGGAAAACCTTTACTCCTTATAGGTGCAGTTGACCAGCCAAGAAAGGACATAAGAGACTCCCAAGAAGTTATTTGTGCTGTTGGCTCAAGAAGTGAAATTGCATCTAGAGGGAAAGGGGGACAGCCGCTGGTTTGTTCAAGGCTTGGGCATGATCAGGGCGGAGTCCAAGAAGTGAAAAAGTATCCTTTTAATCCTAGGAAACAAATGGGAACTGGTTTGAAAAGTCCTAGCGCAGCTGTGAACAGCTCTAGACCTGGAATGTCTGCTAGTAGAAGCAAAAGAGATATCAGAAACACTTGTGGCCAAGGAAGATGCATTGAAGACAGTGGGACCAGTGTGAGAGAACTCAGACATTCTCCAAATCCTGGGAGTTCAATGGAAAGTAGCCAAATACACCTTGAGCAAGCAAGATGCTGTGCTGCTTCACAGCAGCACCTAGAGAATAACTGGAAAAGTGGAAGGGAAACCAGGAGTGTAAGGGCCGGTGCCAGTAGTGATGGGATGAGCAAAAGAGACCATTCAATTGTTTTCACTCCTAAGAAGGAGAATGACTGGAAGGGTTGTTGCACGTCCTGTAGCCCCACAAACCCTACAGTTTTTGGACAGCAAGGGATGGTCCAAGAAACTCTTGCACACTCCATCAAACCAGAGACTGTCCCAAGAAGCCAAGAAAGCTCCCAGAGCCATGTACATCCAATGCCATCCTTAGAAAAAGAGTGGTTAAGCCAAGGGGAGTGCTTCCATTCTGCCAAGCCAGGGCAGCAACAATTGGGGGATAACAGGGAACATCAAGAAACTCCAGTAAAACGGGCAGAGGATGAATGGATAAACTGGCAGAGGTGTCCCAGTCCCTCAACAGCAGAGAAGCATCTGGGAAATAATAAGGAAAAACTTTTCTATCTGGTAAGGAAGAGATAAAAAACACTGCCTGAAATTGCTTTCATGTTGTCCCATATTTTCTGTTTGTTTGTTTTTTGTCTGATCCTCAAAATTCAGTATTGACAAACAGGCATGCTTCAAAGAATCCAGTTTTTTGTCTCCTGAAGCAACATTGATATGTCTCATTTTTAAGTATATATATGCAGTGTCTGTGTGTGTGTGTGTATCTTTGTAAAATATGTCATTTGCACTATTGTATGAGTCAAGGAGTGGAATTATATAAAATAGAAAAATGCAGCTAGTACATCTTGGTAGAATGTGGCTGCGTGGGTAATCATGGGGGTACCTAGGTAATCCCATGTTACACCACTTTTAGGCGGCCTGAACTGGTTGCCGGTTGTCTTCCGGGTGCGATTTAAGGTACTAATTATGACCTTTAAAGCA